TTCAAACATTTTTTTTCCATTAAAAATGATTCAGCGGAGACAACACCAGTGGACAGCGGATCCACTCACTCCATGGAGCCAGCAGCACCTGATGGAGGTCTAGTGAATGGTTCCGCCAGTAGATGGCAGCACAGTGTAGTGCCTGGCTCATCACCTATACAAGGTTTATCCCGTCTGCTCAGTCGGTGGTTCCCGAGAGAACCCGGGTAGAAGGAACCCGGGTTTACGTCAAGTTTTAAAACTAGACCTTTGTCACCTCAAGCCGAAGTTGGGAGTTGTTCCATCTACCTACGATGAGGCCTGACAACGGCGGTGATTGGCCAGCTACAGACAGGGCGGGTCTAGGGGCGGGGCCACCAGCGAGCCTCCCATTGGCCGGGACAGTCGTCCACCGCCAGGTAAGTCTCGGCTGCACGCTCGCTCGTGAACCTTCCTAACTAACTCAACGTTTCGTCTCTCTGAGCTCTTGTTGGTAGCAGTCCGACCTCAACGAGAGAACAAACATTATTGTAGGGTCACTAAGACCAAACCCCATCACTAACACTAAACCCCAACAATGGGACCAAGCCCCGACAATGTAACCAAATCCCAACAATGAAACCAAATCCCAACAATGAGACCAAACCCCATCACTAACACTAAACTCCAACAATGGGACCAAGCCCCAACAATTTAACCAAATCCCAACAATGAAACCAAATCCCAACAATTAGACCAAACCCCATCACTAACACTAAACCCCAACAATGGGACCAAGCCCCAACAATGTAACCAAATCCCAACAATGAAACCAAATCCCAACAGTGGGACCAAACCCCATCACTAACACTAAACCCCAACAATGGGACCAAACCCCATCACTGACACTAAACCCCAACAATGAGATCAAACTCCATCACTAACACTAAACCCCAACAATGGGACCAAACCCCATCACTAACACTAAACCCCAACAATGAGATCAAACTCCATCACTAACACTAAACCCCAACAATGGGACCAAACCCCATCACTGACACTAAACCCCAACAATGGGACCAAACCCCATCACTGACACTAAACCCCAACAATGAGATCAAACTCCATCACTAACACTAAACCCCAACAAAGGGACCAAACCCCATCACTAACACTAAACCCCAACAATGGGACCAAGCCCCAACAATGTAACCAAATCCCAACAATTAGACCAAACCCCATCACTAACACTAAACCCCAACAATGGGACCAAGCCCCAACAATGTAACCAAATCCCATCACTAACACTAAACCCCAACAATGCGACCAAACCCCATCACTAACACTAAACCCCAACAATGGGACCAAACCCCATCACTAACACTAAACCCCAACAATGGGACCAAACCCCATCACTGACACTAAACCCCAACAATGGGACCAAACCCCATCACTAACACTAAACCCCAACAATGAGATCAAACTCCATCACTAACACTAAACCCCAACAATGGGACCAAACCCCATCACTGACACTAAACCCCAACAATGGGACCAAACCCCATCACTGACACTAAACCCCAACAATGAGATCAAACTCCATCACTAACACTAAACCCCAACAATGGGACCAAGCCCCAACAATGGGACCAAACCCCATCACTAACACTAAGCCCCAACAATGAGATCAAATTCCAACAATAAAACCTAATTCCAACAATGAGACCAAACCCCATCACTAACACTAAACCCCAACAATGATATCAAACTCCATCACTAACACTAAACCCCAACAATGAGATCAAACTCCAACAATAAAACCAAATCCTAACAATGAAACCAAATCCCAACAATGAGACCAAACCCCATCACTAACACTAAACCCCAACAATGGGACCAAACCCCATCACTGACACTAAACCCCAACAATGGGACCAAACCCCATCACTGACACTAAACCCCAACAATGAGATCAAACTCCATCACTAACACTAAACCCCAACAAAGGGACCAAACCCCATCACTAACACTAAACCCCAACAGTGGGACCAAACCCCATCACTAACACTAAACCCCAACAATGGGACCAAACCCCATCACTGACACTAAACCCCAACAATGAGATCAAACTCCATCACTAACACTAAACCCCAACAATGGGACCAAACCCCATCACTAACACTAAACCCCAACAATGAGATCAAACTCCATCACTAACACTAAACCCCAACAATGGGACCAAACCCCATCACTGACACTAAACCCCAACAATGGGACCAAACCCCATCACTGACACTAAACCCCAACAATGAGATCAAACTCCATCACTAACACTAAACCCCAACAAAGGGACCAAACCCCATCACTAACACTAAACCCCAACAATGGGACCAAGCCCCAACAATGTAACCAAATCCCAACAATTAGACCAAACCCCATCACTTACACTAAACCCCAACAATGGGACCAAGCCCCAACAATGTAACCAAATCCCATCACTAACACTAAACCCCAACAATGCGACCAAACCCCATCACTAACACTAAACCCCAACAATGGGACCAAACCCCATCACTAACACTAAACCCCAACAATGGGACCAAACCCCATCACTGACACTAAACCCCAACAATGGGACCAAACCCCATCACTGACACTAAACCCCAACAATGAGATCAAACTCCATCACTAACACTAAACCTCAACAATGGGACCAAACCCCATCACTGACACTAAACCCCAACAATGAGATCAAACTCCAACAATAAAACCAAATCCTAACAATGAAACCAAATCCCAACAATGAGACCAAACCCCATCACTAACACTAAACCCCAACAATGGGACCAAACCCCATCACTAACACTAAGCCCCAACAATGAGATCAAATTCCAACAATAATACCTAATTCCAACAATGAGACCAAACCCCATCACTAACACTAAACCCCAACAATGATATCAAACTCCATCACTAACACTAAACCCCAACAATGAGGTCAAACTCCAACAATATAACCAAATCCTAACAATGAAACCAAATCCCAACAATGAGACCAAACCCCATCACTAACACTAAACCCCAACAATGAGATCAAACTCCATCACTAACACTAAACCCCAACAATGGGACCAAACCCCAACAATAAAACCAAATCCTAACAATGAAACCAAATCCCAACAATAAAACCAAATCCTAACAATGTAACCAAATCCGAACAATGAAACCAAACCCCATCACTAACACTAAACCCTAACAATGGGACCAAACCCCAACAATGAAACCAAACCCTAACAATGAGACCAAACCCCATCACTAAGATCAAAAAACTATCGCAATAAGATTGTTTATTACAAAAACCGCGAGATTTCGAGCCTAGCTCGGACAACATTATATCTGGCAGTGGGGCGAGGTTTGGTGGCTGTTTATACTTGGCCTGGGGCATGTGACAGCATTGCTCTGGGACATATGGTCTAACATTCCACGCAGATATCTCGAGGTCATGGGGGGTGAGCAAGGAAAAAGGGAAACTACATCAAATGAACAAATCCCCGCTGGTGGGGTTGGACTTTTGCAAGAATCGGGGGCCATTGGAGCATTTTTTTTTTTTATCAGAAAAAAAGTGCCCAATGTGGGAATCGAACCCGGGTCGTAGTGGTCGAAAACCAAACGGTTTAACCAGCCTTCCACCGACCCCCCGATTCTCTGATATCCTTGATGAATTCTGATGTCTATGTGGAGAAGGTGTGGATTGGAGAACAGCATGAAGGACATTGCTGGCGATGTTAGATCTCAAGGGAATGTTTGTGTATTTCTGTCAACTATCTATGTCAGGAACATATTCGATGTTAGCTGTAAATGACTCAAATTGTTCTTCCATTATTTGATCTTTCCTTCAAAGTAATGATAAGGTTTGGTTAAAGTATAGTACAGTTTTATACTATAGATTTAGAATTGTCAGATTTAGAAATAGGCCTAAAAATATCTGCGTCATTTAATATTTCAGCCATTTTGTTAGGATAATCTACTTTATACAAGACAACTCTGCTTCAGCGTTTGTCTGCTTCGAATATTACTGTTTTTTTTTTTTTTTTTTTTTAAGTTCTTAAGCGTTTGTACTTCAACTATTTTAGGCTCTATGTCTAATGTTGTCGCCTTTTCTTTATTTTATAATTCAAGTTCCTCAGAGACTTAAAGAAGAAGACTATCAAAATGCTGCGAACATTGAGAAGCGAGATGTGATAGGTGTTAGATGTGGATTGTACAAATATTGCTAATTAATTTCTGTGGATCTTTTATTATTTTCTAAAACTCTCTCTCCCTGAATATTTAATGAAAGTACCTAGAGAATATATATTACTTAGCCCTCCAAGTCGACGTATTACAGGCCATGATAATCATGGGGGTAGTTAGCGACTTCTTTTACTCTAAGTGCATATCATGTGTACACAGGTAGACATCAGTTCTATTTTTGCACTTCCGGTGTGCCAGAACCACATTAGGTTACTGGTACTTACTTGTGACTTTTAAAATAATCTCGGGGGCCATTGAAACAATTTTTTTTTTTTTTTTTTAAGAAAAATAAAAGTGCGGGATTCGATCGTAGCTGCCGACTATGCCCCAGTGATCACTCCATTCTGTTGCTGGCACATGGCCGACCCCGCAGCAACATTTGTGTCATTTGGAGTTTTGTTCTTCTTCACTTAGGGAACATCTTGGCTCTCGACTTCCTGCGCCCAGCTTCTTCACAACTAATCCTCTCAACTTCTTCCACCGTTCTCATTCCCTTTGACCTTTCCCTACCTTGTAACCCAGCTTACATTCCGTGGCACTCCTATGGATCATCCATTTTGGGGCCATCAGCGCAGACCATTCTCTATGTTTCCCTATTTTTAAAATGCTTGACCTCCAATATGACTAATTTATTGAATTCAATATTTTGTATAAGTTGAAGAAGTGCCTGAAGGAAGGTTTAAAACTTCGAGTTTTGTTCTCACTTCACACCTGACCCTCCCGAGCCGTTCCAGAGATCCTGGACACAGTGGAGTGAGTAGTATTCAGGCGTCGGCTGGAGTCGCGACGGCGCCAGTCTGCTGCTCACACCACGACTGTCCGCCCAGCTGCAGCGACTGGTCAGTCGAGCTCTCTCACAGCTTTGTTCACCTACAGAACGTTTAAATTCCTTGTGGCTTATCTTCATTTTCTAACAAAAAGTAAATCTTCAGTTTCTCTACTCTGGTCCCCACTGGCTGCTTCTCTATCTTGAGATCTTCTTCATCAACTCCACCGAGGGCGCTGGCTCTGACCCAAATCTGGATCTTAGAAGGATTTGGAGCTAAGATTCTTTTTTGGGTTGGGCCCCGCGTTCTCTGCCCATGGAACCTTTGTTTCTCCTGCGCGCGCACTAACTCTACCTAACTGTATTGGAAGGTTTAAGACTCGTCAATCTTAAGTGGCGAGTTTTACTGACCAAGGTTTCGGTGACCCACCATGTCCAAGTTGAGAATGGCGACACTGGACCACCGAAATGTCGGTCAGTAAAAACTTAAGGTCGACGAATCATACATCGACCAATACATCAAATACCTGTGCGACCAGGATGCTCACTACCAGCTGACTGTGGCACCCTTTAACCCCCGGGTTGTCAGCCAGGATGCCGCCTTTACTTGAGTCTGTTCCCAGCCTTGTCCTGCAGCCTCACCGAACAACACAACACTCCGCAGCCTTGCCCACTCCACCTCTGTTCTCCGCAGCGATTCTACCGTGCGGCGCGGACTTTGCATATCCTTGCCACCACACAGAGGTCGGGTCAGGTCCAGCCCGGGATCTTGGGCCGTCCGTGGCTAAGAGTCCAGACTGGATTTGACTCTGCTTCTGGAACCTTCGTCCGACGTCGTGGTTCCGCCCTTCTTCCGATGACATATCCGACCGTGGCGGGGAGCCGTGGAATGGGTAGCTTACATAAGCTGTTGATATATTGTGTGGCCATAGAGATGGGAGGAGGATTCAGAGCGGCGAGGACATGTTCTACAACAAGGAAGTTATGATGGAAGAGAAAAGACTGAATGTCCGCCATGTTGCTATGTCAAACAACTGTCGGAAAGAATTGAGAGAGTTTCCCACTGACCTGGTCGCAGCAGAATGCTGTCACAATCGACGTCCCCCTGATGATCTTACCTCTAGGACCGATCTGTGTGGCCTCATGGCTTTTACAACTTGGGTTCAATTTACAATATTGGGTTTTATCCCAGGTGGGATAAACGATAGTTCGGAGGAAGTGTTTTGTCTTCCTTCCGTAGTTGTGGGTTTATCTGGAATGTTCAATTATAGCAAGTATACTGGAGGTTGGCGACGACTTAGGTAAAGGCACATCCAGCTTATATATATATGTTTCAATAACCTCCGATTCTTACACAAATCCAACCCCACCAGTGAGTGCAAGTAACCAAACGGGGCTCTGGTGCATTTATAAGTTCAAAAGTCGAATTGCTTTCTACGTGTGCAGACATGCGGCGTGCACTTACAGTAAAAGCAGTTGCTCACTAAAAACCATGACTATCATGGCCTGTGTACTTGGGATAAGCGAAAAAGAATGTTTGCTCGTTGACACAGGTGATCTTGGGAAGAGAGCCGACGTGACAAACGGCGAGCACGTCGCAGGTGTCGGGTGACAGTGAATCACAAGAGGATACCCGGCATAAATATTCCGCTCCAACTTTCCTCCATGCATGACTTTCTACTCCAATTTGCATATCCACCACACAGAGGTCGGGTCAGGTCCAGCCCGGGATCTTGGGCCGTCCGTGGCTAAGAGTCCAGACTGGATTTGACTCTGCTTCTGGAGCCTTCGTCCGACGTCTTGGTCCCGCCCTTCCTCCAATGACATCTCCGACCGTGGCGGGGAGCCGTGGAATGGGTAGTACCCAAGTGTTGTGACCCAATGCTTGTCTACCACCCGTTCCAAGACTGACCATCTCGCCATCATTCTCCCTCCTACACCATCCACAAGGTAAAACACTTTCGAATGGCCCTGGTTTCCTTAAGTCGGGACACATCCTTTGTTCAGAAACAACTCAGGTGAAGTGCGCGATATTCCACTGGGCAATAGGAAAAGACAATTTACATATGTACAGTTAGTTATGTCTCAAATCATGCCTTGTCATGCATAGGTCAATCAGCCGTTGCAGCAGATGTTCCAAGTTGGAAAACGTCGTCCCCGACCTTGTTCGAGCGTCCCGCTGTGTCTCCCGGACAGCTCTGTGGCTTGACGTGGTCACAATCTCCTGGCACCTCGGACATCCCAGCTGTGGTGCCTTCAGCTAACAACGTGTGTTCCCAGCTACCCTGGACCAAGCCAGACAGACCCAGAGATGGGCCAGAGAGATCTGCCGCCGAGATTGTACGCAACCTTGCGCTTCTTCAGCCTAATTCCTTCTCATTACAGAAACCACTTCTGTGTTTTGAATATCTCGTATGTTAGCTATCATATCTTCTATAAATGTTATTTAAACATGGTGCATTACCGCGCCACCTGTTGTTGGAAACTCGAACTACGTATTTATACATGACTTCAATGATTCTTTTAAATAAAACCATTTTTCTACTGCCCTTACTGCAATGAAGTATAAATACACTCACCACAATAATTGAGCGGAATGGTTTATATTAAACTGGAGAAACCGCTGGGAGGGTTCACCACTGATGAGCCAGGCCATCCCATGGTTTTATCATTGCTGTAAGGGTAGTAGAAAATTGTTTTATTTAAAATAATCCTAAACGTTATAAATAGTTCAAATTTCCAATACTTTATAGTTTTTATTTTAAAAATAAGGCTTATTTTGGATTTAAATAAGATTATTTATTTACCGATATTTCGATGGATCAATCTTCCATCTTCTTCGAGGTGTTTTGCAGTGAAGCACGCAGCAGGTCGCGCGCCCCAGGTGAGCCACTAGACGTCTTCTAAGCTTATTGGGTGATAAACCATCTAATATATACATTCTAAACAGAGTAAATATAATCAAAATAAAAAAGTGATATATGTAAATGACTATTGAAAATTAAGAGATATCGAATTAATTAATGAATAAGTGATATATGTAAATGACTAATGAAAATTAAGAGATATCGAATTAATTAAACAAATAAAATATCATTTGTGACAATTATAATCTCATTTCTTCCATTCCCCATATATAACATATTATTGTTACTTCATTATTTTCATTGAACGACCAATTGTGACATTCCATTGTCGAAGCTGGTCTGAAGGCTCGGGACACAACGAACAGCTCGAGAGAGGAAAAAACATCCGATATTTGGAAGAATTCCTCTTGTAAGACAATTGTTGTCCATGTGGGCAGAGAATTCTTTGACTGTCCTCAGATGGCCGTTATGTATATATTGAGAGAGATTGAAACAACTTTATTGACATCTAGTCAATGTTACATTTTAAACAAATAAATAAAGACATTTACAAATATGTATGAGCTAGAGAAGCTCCACCACCTTGATAGGGTCCTCCTCCAGACCAGGAGTGGTCTTCTTGGACTCTCCGCAACTCCAGGAAGTGCTTATAGATGCGTGTCTTTGCAGACGCCCGTCCTCCAGGCCATGCCCGAAGACCCAGCCCTGCAGTGCCGCTGGTGAAGGTCTCCACAATGACAGGCCTGATCCGAGAGAAATATATTTTTGATAAAAAAAAAATAGTTTTCCAATATAAGCATTCTGTTCCGCTCTAACACCTGATGTTTATTATACTTAAAATTAACCAAATTCCCCATGATGTTTGTTAGAACAATCATTGTGAGGTGATCCCCTCACCGTTGTGTTCTTGGAGCCACCCGTCCACGGCAGGGAACAACTACGGGGGGCGGGCCGAGGTCGGATTGGAGTCTTAGGCGGAGGGACCTACGCCAAGATTCCATCTCGACCTCATTCCGCCTTCCCTTACGTCATCAAACGCTTGTCCTTGCTGGAATCCTACTGTATCTACTGGGCTTCCTTCCTGTGTAACCCCGGCATTGCTCCTGTGTGACCCCGGCATTGCTCCTGTGTGACCCCGGCATTGCTCCTGTGTGACCCCGGCATTGCTCCTGTGTGACCCCGGCATTGCTCCTGTGTAACCCCGGCATTGCTCCTGTGTAACCCCCTGTGTAACCCCGGCATTGCTCCTGTGTAACCCCGGCATTGCTCCTGTGTAACCCCGGCATTGCTCCTGTGTGACCCCCTGTGTAACCCCGGCATTGCTCCTGTGTAACCCCGGCATTGCTCCTGTGTAACCCCCTGTGTAACCCCGGCATTGCTCCTGTGTAACCCCGGCATTGCTCCTGTGTGACCCCGGCATTGCTCCTGTGTAACCCCGGCATTGCTCCTGTGTAACCCCGGCATTGCTCCTGTGTAACCCCCTGTGTAACCCCGGCATTGCTCCTGTGTAACCCCCTGTGTAACCCCGGCATTGCTCCTGTGTAACCCCGGCATTGCTCCTGTGTAACCCCCTGTGTAACCCCGGCATTGCTCCTGTGTAACCCCGGCATTGCTCCTGTGTGACCCCGGCATTGCTCCTGTGTAACCCCGGCATTGCTCCTGTGTAACCCCGGCATTGCTCCTGTGTAACCCCCTGTGTAACCCCGGCATTGCTCCTGTGTGACCCCGGCATTGCTCCTGTGTAACCCCGGCATTGCTCCTGTGTAACCCCGGCATTGCTCCTGTGTAACCCCCTGTGTAACCCCGGCATTGCTCCTGTGTAACCCCGGCATTGCTCCTGTGTGACCCCGGCATTGCTCCTGTGTGACCCCGGCATTGCTCCTGTGTAACCCCGGCATTGCTCCTGTGAACCCCGGCATTGCTCCTGTTAACCCCGGCATTGCTCCTGTGTAGATGTCAATAAATGTAAGCTTCAATTTAAACACAAGGCTAGCACTGGTTGATGGCTTCTTTAGAATAATGAAATGTTTCACTTCAAATGTGATCGACACAACAACGGGTTCAATAGGGTGGCTGATTTGCATATTAAATTATTACCTTGCTTACTATTGGTCCATTTCCTTATTTACATGTATCAGCTCGAGGAGCATGAACTCGTGGAATAGGTGTAATCTATACACAAGGGGATAAGATACAACATTTACGTGTTCCTAGTTTTTTGGTAAAATATATCTCGCACAGGCCTCAACTTTTGGGTTTAACTTTTAGAGGGGGAAGTGTAATTTTTTACAATTAAACAATTGAAAACATCTCTCTCTGTCAATACTCTGAAATAGAAAACATTGCTATTTATTCCGATAGATGGCTCAAGCCATCAGCAATGCTAAGTTACACGATCAGACGGGATTCCTTTGTTCCATTCTTACATATGCTAGCAGCTTATATACAAATATATTTCCACAAAGTGGTCTTGTAACAAAATAGATCAAACATTGTGTAGATTTGTGAGAAAACAAAAGTGAAACTGCACTGGGATCAGGTGGATACATTAAGAAAAAGACATCTCTTAATCGTGCAACTAAAAGTTATTGATGGCTTGCGCCATCTATCAGAATAAATGTCAACTATTTGTTGATTTCTAATTATTCCAGAATTGGCCAAATGACCATTCTTGAATAATAATCATTAATCAGCACCTCAGATATTAAGTCGGAAACTGATGCATTATCAAAAATATCTTTTGCGCCATCTGCAACTTTTAGTTGAACAATGAGGAGATGCCTTTTTCTTAATTGTGTAAATTTGTTGGAAACCTCACAAAAAACGTTTGTAATTCCCAAAGTTATATGAAGTAGTTAAAATCAATTGTTACATTGTAGTTATGCCATCACAAACTCCGTTCGATCCATGAAGAAGGATTCCATTAGTTGGAAGTCACAATTGTGGCGGACCAATCAGAAGAAAGAATCCAAACTCCCTGTTTACATATTGCCCCACAATACTTCCATAAGTTGGATCTTCTTCCTCCTTATCTCCACACTGGGTGAAGTAGAATGTGTCTGCCTTTGTCATTAAGACTGGAAGCCCTACTCAGTGGCAGGCCAACTTAGCTCCAAAAGAAATGGCCGCCTCTGACATGAGGAACAGACAGCATGTGCAGCCGCTCCTAACATGAAGTACAAACACTGCTTATCCTGTATCCCTGGATTAGGAGCACTTACAGGGTACTATCAGCCGGGCCAGCTGAACCCAGGTTTTTTAGTGAGCTTGTTACTGCTTCCCCTCCTCCTTTTTCATCCGGGCTTGGGACCAGCAAAGGTGGAGTTAGATGGATAATTGCTTGGATCATTATCAAAAGTACAAAATCGTTAGACAAATAGTTTGTTGTAAGGTTTTATTTAACCGGGAGTATTTCTTCCCTGAGAAGAGAAATCTGCAAAAAGTCAGAAATGCTCGGCTATACAAGAAACTCTCTTCATCTCAAGATTTTGTACTTTTTACAATAATGTAACATCAGGATGACACAGCAATTTATTTAAGACAAATCAACATTTGCAAAGAAGGAATGAGTGAAGAAGGGAGTAGAAAAATATAAATTCTGTTTATAAATACATTGCTACAATGTACTTCCATTTGGTTTTATACATGGTGCTTCAATCTCGGAGTTGTATTATATTGCTCCCAGTAGTGTAACTAATGCAAATTGAAATCCTTGGAACCAATGTCAAGTACCAACTGTAACCAAGTATTCTAGCTGGGCTTATGGAATGTAAGGGAAAAGAGAACTCCACCTTTGCCGGTCCCAAACTCCCGGATGAAAAAGGAGGAGGGGGAGCAGTAACAAGGTCACTAAAAAAACCTGGGTTCAGTTGGCCCGGCTGATAGTACCCTGTAAGGACTCCAGGGATACAGGATGAGCCGTGTTTGTACTCCATGTTAGGAGTGGCTGCACATGGCGTCTGTTCCTCATGTCAGAGGCGGCCATTTAGAGCTAAGTCAGTGGCCTGCCACTGAGTAGTGCTCCCAGTCTTAATGACAAAGACAGACGCATTCTACTTCACCCAGTCATGATGGTTGTCATGCTTTACAAGCTTGATGCCTTAATATGATTGAGTGGAGATAAGAAGGGAAAAGAGACAATATCAAATGGCTGATACAAACCAGAGACCGGAGGAGACAGTAGCCAAGACAACTGGTTCCCAACACTGGAAGATCTCACCTAACCAAACAACATTTAGAACAAGCCATTGAAGATGGAAATAAAATCTACCCCACTTGTCTAAAATGTAGCTTGGCATCTACAGCTCCGGAACACTTTTTTTTTTTGCTTATCCCTAGTACACGTGGTACAGGCCATGATAATCATGGTGGGTAGAAGTAGGCGACTGCTTTTACTGTAAGTGCACCACATGTCTACACATGTGAAAAGCAGTTCGACTTTGCACTTACATAGGTGCCAGAGCCCCATTTGGTTACTTGCACTCACTGGTGGGGTTGGACTTTTGCAAGAATCAGGGGCCATTGGAGCATTTTTTTTTTATCAGAAAAAAAGTGCCCAATGCGGAAATCGAACCCGGGTTGTAGTGGTCGAAAACAAACGGTTTAGACCATCCTTCCACCGACCCCAGAACACATTTTAATTTGCATAAGATGCACTAAACAGGACCTCTGGGAGAGGCTTATCATCAAACAGCTCAAGGAGTACGGACAATTTGTGTAATCTTTACACATGGGGATAAGAAACAACAACACTACAGGGTCATATTTCTACTGTCTTGTCCATAGTTCATTTAAAATATCCTTTCCAAGAGCTTTAGTATAAAAGAAAAACTAAAATATGTAGCAATCAACTTTTTAGCAATGTGTTCCACATATCAAATATTAGACATTACTGCAATGATGGAAGTTGTTGAATGAGAGGACCACTTCCATCTCTGTAATATGTCAAACATATTGCCAAAAAATCAATTGTTACAAATTTTATAGATAGATGGCAATAAAAGTAAAACAGCCCAATAGTGATATGTTGGATTAGACTGGAGAAACTGCTGGGAGGGTTCACCACGATGAGCCAGGCCCTCTTATTATATTACCATTGCAGTTAAAGCACAGTATAAACACAAGGTAATAAGACCAAATAAGTAAATAGTGTGTGACGTTTCGGTAACAGCGTTGTTACCATCTTCAGACAAAAGTACTGAATCATGGTATCATGAAAGCACTGAATCATTGTATTGTTATCATCTGAAGATGGTAACAACGCTGTTACTGAAATGTCACACACTATTTATTTATTAGGATTTGGTCTTATTACCTTGTGTTTATAATCCAAATTGTGCCTTATCAGCACAGTATAAAATTATTTTATTTAAGAAAAAGCTTACATGTCAAATTACTTCCAGGGTTGATATAGATGGTTTTTTCAGTGAAACCAGGTCAAGTATTGTCTTCAAATATAATTCCCAACAATTAAGGATTTGTTTCAAACAACAAGCCTCCAAAGTGACAGAAGGATGAGGTAGGTTCCACTGTAGGCAGGCATCAACTGCTGTTGTTCTGTATTCATGGACACAAAAATTCTCTTATCAAGTTCCATTCCAAAAGTTTTCCAAATTGACCCAACATTTTTTTCCAAAATTTATCACACAAAGCTTTATTAAGACCACTGGTCTTATACAGATTGACCACAGGAATCATAGATCCTGTACTCCAGGCAGCACAGCACCTAACAACAGCCTTCAGGTCCAGTGGCCACACCGTGCATTAATGTTCTACAGGGCATTGGAAAGAAGTGGTAAAACATGGCTTAAATGGATCTCCCTGCCATCTACATATCAGTCAAGATATTATCTTTCTCTCAATTCCTCATCAACTTGTACCATTCTTTCTACTACATATCATTATCTACATCCTGAAAATCATTCTTAGTATTGTGCAGCATCAACAGATTGGTTCAAATTGAGCAATCAGCAGAGTTGATTATTCATAGAACTCAGGTGTTGTTGATTGGATTTCCTATG